CCACTTGAAAGCAATTCGATTTCTCGATAGATGAGCACTTCGGGTAAAATCGAAAGAAACGTCTTCGATGGTTTACTGCTCATGGTCACATTTGTCCCTTCATCAACTGGTACCACCTGCAAGTAAACAGACGAACGAAAATCACGAAACAAGATGATTTCATATTCCAACTGCTCAGTTTAAACCCAATCATGAGGAAACTATCAATGGCAGGTTACCTTCAAAACAACAGTAGAATGATCCAGTAAGGATTTGGCCGTGTACACCTCACTGAACGCTCCTTCTCCGATTTTGCTGAATTCTTTCTCGGAACTGCAGATTATGGCAAAGTGTTTAGAAGAAATTCTTGCAGTAATTTCTGGGCAAGTGTCAGCAGCATTACCTTCGATCGAAAGCAGTGCTCTCGACACTCCCTCAGCAACAATGCCGATCGAAGATATTCCGACTCAGCACTATCTTCGTTCCTATTATAATTGGTGACGCGATTCATACGATCAGTATTTTATTTGATTTCGTCAATCGCACCAATAATATGTTATTCAAAGCTCCACTTTTCGACCGAGTGATGAATAAAATGAGAAGATAGGAAGCAATTGCTGAATTACTAACAAATGTTGAAGGAATTCGCTCCACAATTTGACTCGTCCATCTTCACAAACATGCATCAGCAACGATCGCGGATCATAATCACCACAGTACCCATTCAGGAACCATAATTCTGCAATGATAAGATTTTCACTGAATAAGCTAGGAGCTGCGGCGATAAACCGATGCTAGTAAGTAAGCTACTTGAGAATCGCTAACGATACTGAGGCGATTAGATGTTATCAATATCTAAAAATGAAGCTTTTACTGGATAAAGCACACTCATCGTTTGATTCAGATGAAGTTAAGGTGTCTTAGGTATCATCGATCCCATCCACCTGCCCAATGCATCAAGACTAGTGATGTCTCTATTCCACGATATTGGCCAGCTGTACTGCTGTATTCCATCGTTGCTCTGTTATATTCTCGCGCTTCCACCCCAAAAGTACAAAACTGTTCTATTAGTCCGATAAAACTGTTCCGTTCTATTGGGTTCTCGCACGTACTAAGTGTGAAGCCACAAAAATAGAACACGAGTAGGGTAGTCTAACTGGACCAATGATATCACCAATCAGGAGTATTCAAATGCTTTTCCTTTGTTGAAAGTATTCACCTTGATTATTTGAATCACTGTAAATTTCCTTCTTCTCGTTTAATGCTTCGTGCTTATCACATGCTGGAATATCTTCGCTATCCACCAACTCTACAAACGGTGCTGTGCCGTCGTTGAAATCCTAAAACTGATTTGTTATTCTGATCAGCTGTCAGGTTCAGATGGACAGCTTTCTACTTACATTCGTCAAACAGATAGATGTATTTTAAGCCCAAAAACCGCACTGCACAAATTGGGTTACATAACTAATCGTGCAGACGTCGATATCCTTCGGAGCATTTCTAACGACTTCATTGTAGCGAGTAAGACAACCCATCATGAACTGAGTGATAAGAAATGAGAGTTTCCGTACAACTCTATCGAGCAGTTCGTCAGGAAAAACACACAAACTAATGATCACTTGCTGAATTTACCTGAATCTGTTCAATGCAAATTTCATCGCCATATCCTAGATCTCTGGACCTTTCAACCCCACTCAATCGTTTCTCCTTAATATTGCGTTTCTTCTTGACCGTTCTTTTCTTTGTTCTTCGACTTATCCTACTTCGGATCATCGTTCCGTGTTGTTGGATTTCTTTTTTAATCGAGGTGGCTTAACGGGTGTTCTCTGGGCCCAACCACCCACTTAATACAAGATAGAAAAAGTGATGAGTGAAATTGTTAGGAATTCCAAGAAATTTCTTGAAACTGATCCACTTTGAATACATCTGCAATTTGCATGTGAACTATACTTCGATCATTTACAAACAACCATCGAACTGTGAAT